AAAAAAAAAAAAAAAAAAAATTAAAAATCCATTTTCCTTTTACAAAACTGTTTTCATATGCATGCTGTGCTGGTAGAGTTAGACGTTCGTGAAAAGCATTTTTTTCCCCGCACATAAGAGTTACATGTACAAAGAAAAAGAAATCTAATGAGCTTACATAACCAGACTGACAAAGAGGAATTAGGGGGCCATTATTTCATCGCGATCAATCCATCAAGTACTATTGATTTCCTTCAGTGGGGAATCTGTGAAGCGAATAACGTCGCTAAAGTGAGAGAAAGAACACGCCATTAGCTTTCATTGGTGCAACAGCTCATTGCCAGTACTACTGTGCCGGTGGGTCGGGTTCGAATCCGTCTTCCATTTTGTTGTAAATTGTCTTCCATTTGGGAGCGGGTGTTGGGAGAGGGTACTCACGCGTACACACTTGCACGCGGGCTCAAACGTCAGTTCGTGACTCACCCTCTCGTAACCCCCCCCCCCTCACTGCCCCCCCACCCCTATCTCTCCCTATCTCTCTGTCGCCCTCTCTCTCTCTCTCTCTCTCTCTCTCTCTCTCTCTCTCTCTCTGTCTTTCTCTCTCTCTCTCTCTCTCTGATTTTTGTCTCTGTCTGTCTGTCTGTCTGTCTTTCACTCACTCTCTCGTTCTCTCTCTCCTCTCTTTCATTCTCTCCCTCTCTCTCTATATATATATATATGGTTTGCTCGCTTGCTCTTTCTCTCAGGCTCACTATACACATGGTATTTTCACATACACATGCACATTTACTTGCAAACATACATACACACACACGTTCACACATACACACACACACACACACACACACACACACACACACACACACACACACACACACACAGACACACACACACACACACACACACACACCAAGAAAACTGTAATTCGGCTTCCTGGCTCGGATTTGTCCCCTGTGGAAAGGCTTTATGGTCAGGAGTGAGAGAAAGGAGATTTTTTTTTTGGTGGGGGGTGGGGCAACTAAAGAGGCAGAGTTACTTTTTTGTTTCATTGCATTTTCTCAACAGGTTGGGGTAGGAGAGAGAGACAGCGAGAGAGAGAGAGGGGGGAGGGAGAGAAGTGGGGCTGGAGGACTTTGGAAACAACAGACTGGGGCAACAAATTTCTATGATTTCTGACTGTATCCTGGATCTCCCACAGTGCTCGCTCTCTCGGGAACAAGAGCCCATAAGCTTTTCCCTCAGCCTGTGCAACTGTAGGTTGATCGTGAGGAGACAGCAAATTGGGCTGGGCTCTCACGCTTTGCTGACAGCTCTAATACGTTCGGCTTGTCACTGGCTTAAAAGGCTCTCTACGACTTTCCTTTTTTTCTATGAAAGTGTTTTCACACACTCTCTGAAAGAAAACAATAAGTGATGTAATGGTTTCTAATAATATTTTTAAAAACAACTCTTTTTTAAATTTTATCTGTTATTTACGTATGTTATTAAACGTTTTTAAATGGGTTCTTTCTTATGTAGGAAAAAATAATAAATAAATAAATAAAACATTATTTCCCAAAATGATTGGGGCTCTCCGTTAGCTCTGTTGGTATCGAATACCAGACTGTGCGTTCTTGATCGTTTTGTAGAGCTTTCAACATTCTCAACCCATTTGGTTGTATCTGGAAATCATGCCATTTAAATTGCCTAATTTTGTTGATTTGGACATCAATCACACTTGCAAAATGATTACCTGATAAATGTTTATTGCTATAAGTTAAATAAGTTAGTTTTACGAGCCTTTGATTCAAGAAAAATCAGTCAAGATTCTACTCTGTCTGTCGCAGTCAACACGGGATCACTCGGGAGCAATAGCTCAGAAGAAACCAACGAAGAAATCTGTCAAATAGCAAGAACATCAACGGGGTTTCTAAACAAACAAAAACCCCCAAAAAACCTGCAATATTTTGGCAACATAAAAAGACACAACACACTTCAAAAAGAAACTTGAAGACAAGCTAGAAGGGATGAGGTCAGTAGAAAGGGGTTCTCGTAGACAGTAATGCACAAGAGCAGCTGACAACCGTCATCAAAGGTGTATCATTGAACGCAAGTCAGCCTCAGAAGCCCCCATGGAAAAAATGGACACCTCCAACCAACCAAATATCACAGAAGAAAGACTACGATGCTGTGAAACAGAATTCTAAACACGGTAATCAATCACAAGTCTTTTTTGTGCAATTGGTAAAAGCCTAGCCACGACACTACAGATGCTTGTTTGACTGTTGAAGTATAATAGTTTGTCCGTCAGTGTATGACGATGACCAATGCATTGGCAGAGGAGAACAATAATATCTTAACCTTATCCGTACGCCCTGGGGTCATTTTGTAGGGCCTGGGGTTGTATTCTTCAAATTTTAGAATACTTCTAGTACGAAGATCACTTTGAAACTTTCAGAATTTCTCAAAAGATCATTTTTGACAGACTGCTATGCAAAGCGTACGGATCGGATTAACGAGTAAATTTCCTCTTTGGAAAGTGGTGGCACAGAGTTCCCCCACGTCGATGGATACGACAGTAAAACACGACGTACGGAGAGGGTTAAGGAAAATGGAAGAATAAGACGAACTAAAGGTTAAGATGACTTGTAGCTTCTGCACTGCCTTTCTGGTAGAGAAAAGCTTACCACATTCGCTTTCACTTGTGGATTTGCACAGTTTGCCAGATTATCTCTTGATTACAACATGTTTTTTCTTGAAGCCTCATAGAATTGCTGTGCACTGATAAATAATATCTTAAGAAAGTTACTTAGAACGCAAAATATCAGTGTGTACATCGGAGTGGGTTCGAGTTATTATAATATACCTCTAGTTTCAGGAACAGCTGCCCTCAGAACAGTGACCGGCGCCTGTTGTATAGTTGTCGAGCGCTTCGCTGTCGTACACAAGAGACCTGAGTTCGATTTCCGAGCTGGGAGACAATTATTATCGAATATCTCGGTTTTTCTGCTGGGATGTTGTATCCCTTTGAGTTTGGGTTGGCCATGATCAAAATTGTGTCGATTGGAGAGTAGAGAACACTTTTATTAAAAATCAATAAGAAATTCAAAACAGTCTATATGGAATGTATGGTAGTATTGATTTATGCTGTGAACCTTTCAGGACTCTGAAATACATCGATGTTCTGGACAGCAGAAGTTCTACTAAGAATCTTAAAAGATCGTTTTTAGTAAAGTATCTTCCTCCTCTATTCTTGTCTCCCCTGCTTTACGCTCTATCTTTCTTGAATATTCCACCCCATTGAGACGAAGCAATAAAGAAAAAAAGCTGTTGAACTTTAAGGTTCTTTAAATTCCTCTAAAAGATGTTGTTTTTCATAACACGGTGAAACATATTACCTGCACAGGGGCACTCAAAATCTCAAGAGTCCCAACTACAAAATGTTCTAATAATACAGTATTCGATTTTATGAAAGCAGCAAAAACTATAATTGCGGACACCAAACACTTCCTGAATTCAAAAGTCAGAAGACATTTGTTTAAAGTAAATGGTTTATTTTTTAAATACAAAAAAAAAAAAACAAGAACCAATAAGTATACCAATTCATTCATACCATCAACAATCCCACTATTCAGTCATTATCAGGTGTGCAAGAATAGCATAATGTTTGTGTGTCTATCAAATAACTATTCGTGTGTGTGTGCGTCTGTGCATGTAAATGTGTGTGTGTGTGAGGGGGGG